CCAAGGGATGCGAACGCACGAGTGACCTTTAACCGACCAATCAAAAAATGAGAACCTGTCGCCTAAAAATGATGCAGAATTACAATAAAATGCATGAAAACACATCACACAGGATATCTTTCTCTGAAATGACTTAAAAATACGTTCCAGTTATAATGAGGAGTATCAGTTGCTAAGTTAGACTAGTATCTGTACATGTATCCACCGAGATGACTGAAGATGAGCTGTTTTTGTGAGTCGTTTATCTCTCTTATCCTGTTATGCAGTCTACCCCAAAAGCCCTCACTTACTTTGGTTTCCATTAAGAGGATAGACGACTGCTTACCAGGAAAATGTGGATAATATAACAAACTAAAATAAATGCATCAACTATTAGTCTATCCCTAATCGTAACCCTAACCTTAATCCTGGCCCTAACCCTAATTATAACCGTAATCCTAACCGTAAACCTAATCCTAATTATGACCTTGATCCGGACCCTAACCCCAATACTCATCTTAACCCTAATCCTGACTCTAACGAGCTAATAACGTATTGTCAAAACAGTACTTGAAATGTGATCTGAGTGAAATCTGCCGCTTAGCTGGTGAACAGCACTAATATTTCAGCTATAATAATGACAAACAGTTAACCAACGACTAGAATGCCTTCAAGGTCACTGGGGCATTTGCACGCCGGGAACACTACTGTTGAATTTCACCGCGGTTTGTTCGTATTAGTATAACTGTTTGGGAATTGTTTCGCTAAATGATATTATCTGGAAATGCAGGCCTTAGTATCCTAGACATATTTCACCAATGATGCTAAGGCTTCCACACCGTTCGCTGTCTGCTAGTTTTGAGGCAAGCTTAAAGAGCTGGGATGTAGTCTGCCCATTTTGACACACGTGCTGTATGGCACGATGGAAAGTTATAGGTCATGGTTCACTGTTGCATCGTAACTCACACTTGGGATGTGGGAGACTATGCAACTTCTAGGCTTGAGATATTACCTGGCACATCGAAGAATGAAAATAAATCGGTCATGTTGCATTTTTGTTCCTTCTACTATGGAGTGTAAGATAAGATAATATTCTCTTGAGCATGCCCTTATTAACTCGTTTCCCCTGTTCGTATTGTTAATATAGTGTATTATGGTTGTGACGCTATACTTGCATCTCTATAAAATACTATTTAAGTTGATTTCTTTCGTGACTTTTCACGTGTTCCCTTGTCGATAATTTTGTGAGTCTAGACACCTGGAAATCACCCTTCACTCAACCTATAATTGGATTTCTAGCTATTTAGGGAGGAGTGAGTAGACGAAATGCGTTATGTCTATGTAGCCAGTCGTATGTAACCAGTCAGTACATGGGTGAAAGTCAGTTGACGTCTACTCGAGAAGCGTTTCTCCTACTGTCGGATTTACTGTGTACTTATGGTCATCATAACTTGTTACAGGAGTAGTCAGTCGTATAGACTTTGAAAACTAGTAAAGTGGGGTTAGGGAAATACTAACTCCGGAGTGCATCATTGAATCTTCTCGAGACTAGTTATGCATTTTCAGGAAACCAAGGATTATTTTATTGGACATCTGTTTTTGGAGAAAACTAGATGCCGGAGTTATAATCAATCATAAACAAGGAGAACTATTTGGAGGCTGGTGATAGTAAAAGCTAGCAGTGTTTGAAAGAGACTTGAGTGCTACCCAGAGTGTGATGATTAATACCCGTTGACTACTTAAGGCACAGATTACTCCTTGTGATATTTGATCAGGGAAGTGAATTAATTTAGGTTGACCAAATAAAGTTCAGAGCAGGTCACATAGAAACTGTTTTAGTTGTCACTGTAGACAAAGTTTTGTCTGTAAATTAAGTAATCTTATTACTAATAACTTGAAGTCGTGAGGCAAGGTACATTTCTTTTTCATTTCTATGCTTCTAGAATAAGAAGGCAGCACTACTTGTATACTGATTTCCATAGTGCAACACCCCACTTTTGTTAGATATTAACGGAAAACCTTGCGTCTAAGTGCATTTCTTCAAGTAGCTGCGTAACTGTAAACGGCAAAGAAGGAAATGAAATGCTACTGCTACTCTCCTTTTATTTTTATGTTATTTTTTATGGTCTATGTGGTTCGCTTTCTGATGCCGGTAACGCGTGAACTCCAGACGACATTTATATCCGAAAAATGTTTTTGCACAACATATATCTAACATTCTGATCGTATATTCAGTTGTCAATTCGATTAGTATAAAAAAAAAATGAAAGGTTAATTAGAATAAATAAGATAAGGGATTTCGGAGTAAGGAGGATAATAATTGACACTACTTTTCGTAATATACTCAGGTGAGGATTGCCAAGGTAGGGAGTTAAGAGTGACAGTGTTTTTGTACATACGAGGAGGGAGGCTTCAGTTAATAGAGAGCCATCACCCTAGAGTATTTCAGTATGCACTATTGACGGTGTTTACGTATGATCTTGAAAGCTGTTATGATATCATTCGTATAACTCATATCAATTGTAGGTTTACTATAGACGAGGCTGGTAGTGGGTCAGCTGCTCTTATCGAGACTTCGGATTTCAGTCTATATGTCAGTGATGCACTACAGTGTAAAAACTGTTACTTAAGTATAGCCTCATTGTCTTCTATTTAGACAATGTAATGAAAACAAATATTTAGCGGGTGTAAATTACTGACTTACGCATCGGGCATTTGGCTTTTGTGTTTATCGTTTTATCGTTTAAGGAACTAGACGGTATCACAAGGTGTCACGTTTCAGATGTAGTTTATAGACTAGTACTCTCAAATTTTATGTAACCTCTGTGTGTTATGTATATTGACTGTCTTTAGATCAACTTATATTGAAGTAGCAACGGTTTGGAATCACATCTTTCGAATACAGTTTGAAAGCAGTTAGTCCCATTTATGAATTTCAACTAAACAATAAGAAGACAATTTTTATCTGAGATGTATTTGTGCCACACATTTAGGACATTTTGAACTCATGTACTGACTCACTGACTGGTCTCAACATAGAACTTTGCACCAATGTGCAGCAGTTCGAGTCGCCACACTCCATGAAGCACACAAGCAAGAGAAGAAAGTAAAAAGAAATGCAAAATAGAGACAGTAGACAGGTATGAGGCAAAAAGAATAGTAATATCGAAGAACAATATAGTTTTATTGGGTATTATAAGTCACAAGGAGTGGATCCATCTGCGCCATTAAGAACGATTTTGAGACATATCACCCATTGTCTCCAGCCATTAGTGTTTACCGTCCTGAGGACCCCAACCAGGAAGTCTACACCTTCCGACGTGACTTAAACTAACTATTGTGGATTTCATTGATTGATGAAGCTGTGTTTTGGTTTGACCACCACTGGCTCTTTTCCAACCTAACCCATCCTATATCAACTAACATTGCCCATTATCGAGGAAGGCGATGTCTAGGTATGCATGCGTAACACATGTCCTAACCACCTCAGTCGATGTAACTTCACAGCCTCGTCGATTGATCTTCCCTCATTACCTAGCACTCGACGCCTAACCTCAATATTATACAATTTCACATGGGAGATAAAACGCAGGCACCTATGATCAAAGACAGCTAGCCTTTTTCATGTCTTCCACTTTCAATGGCCAGGTCTCAGCCATATTGAAGGAGGATGGAGAGGACTGTTGAGCAGTAAACACGCCCTCTGGTCAATAGCCGGATAGCACGTCTACGCCAGAGATGGCGTAAACTGACATATGCGAAACTAGCCTTCTGTATCCGTGCTGAGAATTTATCAGCCATTAACCCGTTGGGGCTGATGCAACTTCTTGGGGCGTAAGGGGAGACTGCGAGGAGACAACGGTGGATAACGCCGTTCTTCCTTCTAACGGACCCGTTCAGGCGAACCGCACACACGACTATCTGCTGGGATCCAGTCAAGAAGTGATGTTTCTGCCCTAACACTCAATGCTATCCCTACACCTACGAGTCCTCGCGAACTAACTGGGGGTCTCCTGACACTCCTAAGGGGAATTTTGCAGATTCACCTTGTTGACCGGTTGAGGTTAAGTGAATGACCACACTCGGGTCTTGTATGCGTGTCTCCGAAACAACATATATCCATGGCTCAAGATGCCAGAGTTCTTGCCATTGATGCCTATTGTGCGATTCAGCAGAGGGTCGTGACGTTAAATGCTCCTATATGAAGTTGGTGACGTGGCTTTAAGGGGCTGTCAGGGGGTGTTTCTATGACTCTCATCGTTGTTTGTGGTCACAGAGTGAAGATGACTCACTAGCCCGAATAGTACTGACTGTAGTAAGGAAGTAAAGTGATGGTGATGTGGGTATAGGAGAATGATGCTCAGGAACGTTTGGTGTGCTCTTCGGAGTGTGTTGGCGGTTTTTACTTCCCGGCTGCCCACACCATGAAAGTTGTTGAATTCTTCGGTTACCTTAAACAGAAAGAGGGTTAGTGTTGCGTGACCGCAGAGCCCAGGGACAAATGCTTGATGCTGGCCGGTCACACAACCTGTATGAACTGGTTTCTTGGGTTGTTTCCGTATTGGTAAATTTATCGCCGGTTACGAACCACCGTAGGGTAATTCGGGATGTACAATTGTTGGGGTTGACCCCTCCTAAGCCCCTCCCCCCCCAGAGTGGAGACAGCATAGTTGGCATGCTGGTCATATTAGGGAAACACTTGACTGCTATTACATCCCTGTTCCCCAGCTGTACGACTTCGCCCATAGACCTCCAGCAAAGTATAAACAAAAAATTCGTACACTATGCTGGTAACTGCTTTCAGTCTAATCGCTATCCTAACAACCTTCCTAGCATGGTAGGACCTGCAGGAACAATAGTTCCAGCCAGTGTAGCTTGTTGGGTGATTGCGATATACAAGCCCGACCACCACGTCAGGACAGTAGCTGTTGGTCATACTGTAACAACAGAAGGGAAGACATGGAAGCCAAAGTATATTTTCCATTGATCAAACCGCTATGTATATGTAAACAGTTCATATTCTTTAACCAATCACTTAGCGTGTGATTTTAGTTTACATTAAACGACATGAAATAGAATGTTCAAATGTACATAGTATTCTTTTGTCAATGCAGTATATGACCGTGGGAAATGTATTGTCTCGAACATCAAGTAGAATGTTCAAATAGATGTATCATATTCTGTCCCTAATGCCGAATTGAACTGTGGGAATATGTGAGAATAATATTCCGTTGGCATTAGTTAACATAATTTAGTAAAAGTCAATCGTAAAAGATGTTTGTACCCGTAAAATTCTTAACATTTAGGTACGTCAATATTGTAATGATATTTCTGCATTATTTATTTTAGTTCAGGAGTTATTTTGCTAATCCTGTGCTCGCAATATACCTCACCCTCTTAATTATTAGAAACTAGGAACTGACGTACCTCTTGCAAATGGTTGCTGACATTATAGATCACAAGGTACATTTCATGCGGTCGGATATTTCGCTGTACGAGGATTCATCTCTTATAGATACTGGGACCGTGAAAATAACTGAAAGGTGAGTCTTAGTAATCCATTTGTAATGTAATATATTGTGTCATATTTCCCCTGTAGACGTCATGTCGATATTTTTTTCTCTATATTCCATTTTGGCTTTAGTTTTATTTTTTACGAGTTGATCACGGACTGATATCAGTTAGAGAACCATTGAAAACCAGGGAGTACTGGACAGCTGCTGTTTCATCCTAGTATGGGAATCATCGGCAGTACGCACCCACTGGGATTCGAACCCAGGACCTTCCGGTTACAAGGCAAGCTCGTATACCATTCAGCCACTGGGACCCGATTCAATGGCTCATGAATTCTAACTTCTACCAATTCGTGATTTTAGCGCGACCCCATTTATTGTCGTTGGTGGGACATCCATCCACACACGTGACTTCTAATTGGACCTCACTGGTCACGACTTCTCACTAGAACTCCAGGAAGCTCCAACCTGTAGCAAGTCACTAGCGAGCATCAGAATAATTTTCTATAGTTTGGTTTGTAAGGATTAGTTATGTTTTACGAGTTGATCACGGACTGATACTAGGATGAAACAGCAGCTGTCCAGTACTCCCTGGTTTTCAATGGTTCTCTAACTGATATCAGTCCGTGATCAACTCGTAAAACATAACTAATCCTTACAAACCAAACTATAGAGAATTTAGTTTTATTATTGTTTTTCTTTTAAAGTTCCCATTCAATCTTCGCCTACCCTGGACTACATGACCTATTTAAATATGACTGGTCATTAGTATGTACTTTTGTTTTTTATTTAACTGAGTAATTGTCATGCACTGTATTTTATTATTGTTAACCATGTTAGTTGTAAAGCGGTTGTAAAGAAACTACGAAATGATATCATCTCGCGAAATTTGTCTTCTAAATGCCCTATTCAAATCTTTCATTATTGTTTTTCCTCTTTTTTTGTTTTCATTGTTATCTGTTACTGTAAGAACTGACATCGTAGAGCGACGCTTATTGAAGTACTATTTTTCAGTTTGTTGACTTTGATTCGTTTTGTGGTTTGCTTTAATGAATGATTTAGGATTAATGTTGCATTATTTATTCGCTCTTTTAAAGTTTTGTTTTGAGGTATAATATTAAAATGTTGAATTTTTGCAGTTGCTTTTCATGGGAAGGCACATCACTACAATTTTACATTCCCTACTTACAAATCGCGTTGCATGCAATTGCAAGGAATACAGATAACCAAACAGGAAATAACGTGTTCCCTCATCCACATTTATTGATAATGGTAGAGGGAGATCGAGTCTGGGACCCAAACAGTGCAAGTGAATCGAAGCCACAAACTGATGAAAATCATATGGCAGTTGACGAAACTGAATCTGGAGATGAGGATGCGAGCGATCAAGACAATCGTGATGTAGATTTTCCTAGTACTACATCTATTCTGCGTCTGGTTCCATCTGATTGTGCTCACTTGGAGGACATGTTCAAAGCATTAGCTGATTGTCAAGCTTTAAACCCTCATCCCGAAGACGATAACTCTGATTTGGATAGTTTACCAGAAGATAATGAATATGAAGAGAATGATGAGGATGCAGAATTAGAAAACCATGCTTGTAGTGAGTAACGTTTATTATTATGAACAGGGTAACATTTGTTGAAACTCTTTTAATATTTACCGTAATAAACAGCCTAGTTATAGAAAGTAGAAATGATATGAGCCTACTAGGTCACAAGTTGAAACCCTCCGCTCCGCCTACCAAGGGGTGTCATCATCAGCTGTCACACAGTAGATGCGGCTTATTGCCAACTGCATTGAAATGCAAGTGGTTTTTGAGATGTTGGAAACAGTTCAAACTGGCTTTGCACGAAGTTGCGTCAGTTTGTGTTGCCGAATTTGAAAAACAACACATATCGGAAAGGAGAACTGTGAATCAAAATTATTGATTTATTATTATTATTATTATTATTATTATTATTATTATTATTGCTTCCTTTAATTCCTAGAGAAACACAGGGCTTCAGCCGTGCGTCTCCATTGCGTTCGGTTCCCTGCTAGAGTCTTCACATGGCTACAAGTCTGCCCACACGTTTTCATCTCCTCTTCACTTCACATGACCTCCTCCAAGTCACCCCACCTTAGCACTGACGACCAACTCGCTGCTTCCCTTTCGGGTTCCACTCAAGGGCTTGTCTAGTGATGTCACTTGATGGTTTCCTCAGAGTATGGCTAATCCATCTCCATTTCTTCCTGCCTATTTCCTTCATAATCGGTTCCTGGTTGGTTCGTTCCCAAAGATCCCTGTTGCTGATCTTTTCTGGCCATCTGATCTTGAGTATTGAGCGAAGACAACTGTTAATGAAGCTCTGTAGTTTGTTGGAGATACTCTTTATGACGCGCTGGCCAAGTCTCTGATCCGTATGGTGAGTAGCACTGACTTCACATTGGAGTTGAAAATCCGGATCTTATTTTTGATGCTGAGTGCTGTTAATCTATCTCCACACAGACTTGAGAGTAGTGAAAGCTTGTCTTGCTTTTCCGATTATTGTTTTGATATCCTCGTTAGTTCCGCCTGTACTTGAAACGATGCTTCCCAGGTAAGTAAAAGAGGTTGTTTCTTTCAGGTTCCTCCCATTTATGCTGATTGTTGTCTGTTGTTGTTGCTGTAGGTGTTGTTGTTAGCCAGGAATCTTCATCACCTCTGTTTTCTCAATGTTCACCTGAAGTCCTATCTTTGATGCTTCTTCTGCCAACTTGTTGCTTTTCATTTGCATATCTCCCAGTTTGTGGGAAATCAGACATATATCATCGGCGAAGTCCAGATCCTCCAAGTTTTTGTGTGGGTCCATTTTATGCCTGTTTCCTCATTGCCCGCTGTTTGTCGCATTATCCAGTCTACTGCAATCAGGGAAATCATTGGCGATAGTAGGCAACCAGCTTGTCTTACTCCTGTCCTCACTTCGAAGGATTCCGTAAGTTTCTCGTTGTGGATTACTTGGCATGCAGCATTGTCGTACAGCTGTTGGATGAGATGTATTATTGTCGGTGGCACCCCGTAGTAGCGTAGTGGTTTCCAAATCACCTCTCGATCGACGCTGTCAAAGGCCTTTTCAAAGTCGATGAAATTGAGATAGAGAGGTGACTGCCATTCCAGGCTTTGTTCAATGATGATCCGTAGTGTGGCGATCTGATCAATGCATGACTTGTTTCTCCTGAATCCAGCCTGTTCCGGTCGGAGTTTTTCATCCAGGGCATGTTTGATTCTCTCCAAGATGATGCGGCTTAGTATTTGATATATTAGGGAGATATGATTATGAGTGGAGAGAGATGTGGATATTCATTAAATAATCCCCATCTAGGTGTGAGGGAAAAGAACAAAGCAAGTAGTTCACCGAAGAATCTCTTCTTGGTGAATTCATTTTTTTTAGCTGTACAATTGCATTTATATGGATTTTTTTAGGAAAGAGTAATGAGTTGTCATAATCATAGTTGTTTATATTATTAACCAATGCATAAAGGGAGTTGAATAATGATGTCAGATTCACGTAATAAGATGAATAATTTAATGAATTAGATGTAACTAGAATGCACATAGAAACGAGAGAAAAAGTGATAATGGAGAGTTGAAAAGCAAAGAAACAAAAATGAAGTTCGTAGAGATCGACGAGACTGCTACCATGGTAGCGGAAGTTGTTGAATAATCTTCATATGTACGCATAGCTCCAGTTTCTCTGTGTGAATAACTGAAGCTGCAGCAATGCAGAGGAGACAAAGACGTATTTCCTTTGACAGGCTGTTCTTCACTTTGAAAGAGGCGATTGTTGTGTTGACAAAGTGTTCGACTGTCGCACTCCTTATACAGCCACTACTGCCTTTTTGCACTCATGCAGGATAGTCTTTTTCTACTCCTTCTAGACAGGAAATGCATCGAACGAGCATTACACCTGACTCCACAAGAATAGGTGATGTGGTCAGATGCTAGGTCTTGTCTTTCAGGTTTCTACAGCGTCAGGGTTGCAGTTGCGTTGGATGTGGGTTGCAAGGGATTTAATTAAATTGCGTTTTCGTTCAACAAGCACCCAACTGTCGAAACTTCTCAGTTGACCATTCCCTTGTGAGCTTCCTATGGATATATCTTCTTAAAGTTCTAAAGATTCTTCTTCTCAGTAGTTCCACATCAAGAAAGGGGTTTTTCGAATTCGTTTTCCATTTCAAGAGTGGATTTTATTGCTGGATGGTAGTTGTTAAATGCATATGACACCTGATTAAGGTCCTAATTATTGTCATAAAGGATTAAAGAATGTCCACATACCGTGCATACAGTTAAGAGGTATCAATAGTCGACTTTAAAGAACCGTCGTTGAGACTTGCCATGAAACAGTCTGCTAGTAATTGGACCTAAAGGAGATCCCATTGCAGTGCCATCCTATTGTTTGTAAGTAGGGTCATGAGTACACCTCAGCAGTATTCCTTTTAGATACACTGTTTGTATTCCATTGTTTAATTGGTTATCATCTATACATTTGTCTATAAAAAAGACAGCTTACGTAGATGGGGATATCGGTGAGCAGGGATTTAATGTTGAGAGTTAACATACTTACTTAGTAGTGTTCATATCTTGTATGCAATCGATGAATTGAAAAGTGTCACTCACAAAGGCGATACATGCATACATGTTTGCTTACAGGTTCCAGAATATCAACCAACCATTTTTAAGTAGGATAATAAGGGGAACCTGACTTTTCTAGAATTGGACGAAGAAGGAGACTGAGCTTGTGTATCATTACTTTATTCCTTTACGTTCCCAGTGGAACATAGGGCTTCAAGCTAGAGGCTTGGAGTTTCCGTAGCAGTGGTAATTATTTCTACAGGATGGGGTTGCTAGTCTCATGCCCAGCCTTCCCTTTTTACCCGTCTTATTACTGGCTTACCGAGATAAAAGAGTGCGTCCATGGCCGGGGATCGAACCCCTGACCACCTGCGTGGTTGGCGAGCACTCTACCGCCTTGTCACCGACGCACATTATCATTAGCAAACCACAAAGTGTTGGTGTTAGTGATGAACCCAGAGGTTAGATATCATCATAATTAACTGGTCGACTTTCACTCTTTTCAAGACAGCTTACGTGCAGTCATATACTCGCTTAGTGACACTTTTCAATTGATTGACTGTTACTTCAACATACGAGATCTGATCTGTAGAGAAAAATAAGAGCAAAACAGTACTTATTACAACTATAATTAAGACAGGCACTTACCGAAAAGTGTTCACAAAATCTGTTAAACTAATCTACAAAATACCTGGCGTTGGGAAATCACTGACAGAGTCAAAAAGTTCGTCGTAAAAACACAATAACAACGAAAAGAAACTGCATTACTCACAAAAACAATATCCGTAGACTGTAACCAGTGTTTGCCTCTACGCTTCACAAAGTCATAGATACTCACTGCTGAAGTGTCTCAACAAAGAAGTAAAGTGAAACATCTATCATCCACTGATGCTTACTTTTCAGTCAATGATGATCCTTGTAAATAATTATTATTCGTGACAAAATTCACTTTAAAATCAACCTTCAAGTAAAACTTTTTTTCAAAATAAAAAATATGCATTAACTTCTTGTATAGTTTGATAAATTTCGCTGGCTATTTTTTTCTTCCTTTTTGTTTCTAGATAATGGGACAAATTTCGATCCAGATCAGTTCGCTGATGCATAGAATTTCAATATGCATCCAGATGTATAAAATAAATGTATTTTTTTTCTAATAAAAGTTGTCATTGACCTTTTTTTGTTTTGAGGGTTGTCATTCGAATATGTAAAGTGCAGCAGAGTTGGACTGATCTTTTCATAAAGCCGTGTTTATTTGAACTCAGCTACTACACGGACGGAGTAGATTTTTCATATCCTAAGCTAAAAACCTGCATTTATTGTGTGTGTGTGTATGTGTGTGGAGGCTTATGATGCTGTACAGTTGCTTAGACGACTCGAACTCGTTACCCCACAATGTAGAAAACCTGAAATGTGAGGTCAAAAGAAACAAAATATGAATAACCTTTGCTAGTGAAAATTTCAATCTAAGGTCTCTTCATTTAATGAGAACAAAACAGGTAGTTCAGCGAAGAGTCTCTTTTCGGCAGCGAATTCATTCAAATCAAAACTGTTACTAGGGTGGAGTTGAAGATTAGTAAGAGGGTGGTGGGGTGATGTGTTGTAAAAAAGGATATTTATTAACACTTAAAAGAAGTTGAATAAGTGTGATACAGTTAGGTGATAAGATGAATAGTTTAATCAGTGAATTGTGATTAGGATGCACATAGAAACGAAGGAAAATATGGCATTATGTAAGAGTCCTAAAAATTACAGGTGTTACCAGGAGTAGTTAGAAAAGAAAAAAAGAAGCGCACAAACATCAAGTCAGTAGAAGTCAACACGTTTGTAACCATGATATTAGAAGTGGTCGGGTGATTTTCTTTTGTATGCATAGCTTTGGTTTCTCCAACTGAAAGGCTAAGTAAGGCTTCAGCATTGAAAAGGAGACGAAAGCGTATTGTCTTTCGTAGGTTGTCCTTCACTTTGTAGATCACTTTGAAGGAGGCGTTTGTTGAGATGGAATGACCAGTATTAACAAGATGTTCGATTATTGCACTCCTTATACAACCACTATTTATTTTACTATCCGTGCATACCACTTTACTAGATAGAAAACACTTCTAATACCAAATGCTAATGTTGTTCTATCGTGAAAGATACCTCTGCCAAAGCTTGATAATGCTTACCTAATTTTCGTGAATATCATAAAGGCCTATCTTCAGGATTCATCTGCTTAATTTATTCGCATATTGCTCAAATATTATTATTTCCACAGATATATGAAAGGAGTTTATTTTATTGGCTTTTTCGTGCTACTTGTAAGTAGTAAACGAAAAACACAGAAAAGTACTGCTAGAGGTGATTTGCTTAACTGACTGTTTAGCCCGTTCAAACACTATTTCATTCGCCGTCCTGTATGTTCTTACAGCTTGTAAACATGTCGTGTGCTCTAAGCTGACTGCTTCATAAGAGACCTTACACGCCCACTCCACCACAACGTGGGCGGGTGGAAAAATGTTTTTTTTTTGATTGCACACTAGTCAGTAACTAGTGTAATGCGTCTAGTCCTATCTTCGGTACAGACTGAATTCTATCAGTCATGTTTGCAATGTGGCCACCATGCTAGGTGGCTCGCCATTACGGAAAAATGGCATGCATCGTTTAAAAAATGTTTCAGTGATCTCAAATTTACCACACTGTGATTTATAACTTCTATGAATCGGTCAAATAATATTTAGAACTCACGTATACACTTTGAAATTTATAATAGTAGTTAACAGGATCGCAAAAGTGCCATAAGGGGAAATGTGTTCTCCTACTGCACATTATATTCAATATCACAGATTCGAGTTTGGTAGCTTTCGTGATGAATATGTCATCCTAGATCCATCCATCAAATGTACAGTGGAAAACACGAAAAGTGACTAAAAATCGGTCAAATACTTCATATCTACCACAAACTGCTTTTATGAAATAAAACCCTTATAAGTGCACACAGCAAATAGTGTTGAATAGCTTCTAATTCAGTTTATGCGATTATCGTTGCGAATCATTATTACTCCTTCTACTAGGGAGGAAGTACAAATTGGGAAGGTTGTTGTTGTTGTATATAGTCCCCAATGACAACAAACTGAATGCATGACTCGACTAACTAATAGAACACAGAAAAACTACAAGTACATAGGACATGATCACAGTGAGTGATCCATGTTGAGAAAATAAGCAGCAGACTTTCAACCAACTAGCTAGGATCTCCTCGATCACTGTTTGCAGTTGTCTCTAGAAGTCCTCCTCCAGTCAGTCCTCGTTGTTTGTAGGTGTGTAGGGTAGTAGGATTGTGAGCTTACACTCTTTCCAGTTGAATAATGTCGTCATGATCACTGAGCAGATTACATTCCACTAAATGAGTGTCTTCGATGCTGATGGTAACAGCATGTTGGCCACACGCCAGTGCAGTCGTAGTTGTCGTCTGGATGACAAGAGAATATATTTTCGACTCTTCAATTAACCATTCGGAGAATCCACTTCAATTCCATCTGATCTCAAAGATTCCTGACACTTCTATCTCGTATCCGATCAACTTCATTAACCAGTGTAAAACATCGTGCTTGCATTCCAAGTACCTATGCTGATTCTTGCCTTCATTGAGAGGAGACTTGTCGGCAGACTAACTTCCCGAAACCTTCCAATCGCTGACATCATTCGTCCCCGAACTGAGAAGTCTTCCTGATTCCAATGGGGAATATTCTTTTTGTGATTTGAATTTTCAGTTGTGATGGGGTGGATTTGATAGCAGTACGCTCAACCTTCCCCGAAATTCCGAGCTCGGAATCTAGTAAACTACGTGATACAAAGCAGACAATTTAGTATTTCTTGACTCAGCACCTGTCAAGAAACAAGGAAAATCCAGATCACTTATAGCACCTTTTACTGGGCCATTCTCTGCTTTCACTAGGAAGAAGTCCTCTAGAACTGTACAGTGTGGTGATCCCATAGCAATACCATCTGAATGCCTTTAGATGTCTTCACCGAACAGAAAGTTTAGATTCATCGCGTGCCTTAAAATGAGCCCCTTTATGAGGAGGCGGATATACCAATCTCCATACCAGCATTGATCAATTCAGTCATTTATATAATCTACTATCACCATCAAAGACATGTTACTGAGTAGGGAAGACACATCCGAGAGTGTTATAAACCTGCCGTTCACCTTTAATTATCTGATTCTCCCGACAAACTCAAAACTCTCTTTCACGTTGTGTTTTACAACTTCTTTGTGTAACGGTCTTGAAAAATGTACCAGTTATTTTCCATCTGCATGTTATGCTGAGGTTTGGCAAACCGAGGACAGGCCCAAGTGGCGAGTCACTTTTGAGTAACTCTAGTCAACCGTATTTCTTGGGTGTCATACTGCTGACAGATTTAGAAGTCTCGTCTATGCGTATTAAGTTTTGAGATAGTCGTGTCAGATCTAATAAGATGGATATACCGGTTCAACTTAAAGATGATGTACAAATTAAAAACCTATTTCCTTCATCAAGTGGAACTTAAGATTAAGCCAATATTTACTGGTCAATACACTAGCTTCAACAGTTGGGTGCATCTGGACAGGAAGAGAAACCTTATCCGTTCTCAATGCTCCACAATTCGGAAAATTTGTAGGCTAGACACCTGGAAATCACCACTCACTCAACCTATAATTCGATTTGCAGCTGTTTAGGGAGGAGTGAGTAGACGAAATGCGTTATGTCTATGTAGCCAGTCGTATGCAACCAGTCAGCACATGGGTAAAAGTCAGTTGACGTCTACTCGAGAAGCGTTTCTCCTGCTATCGGATTTACTGTGTACTTATGGTCATCATAACTTGTTACAGGAGTAGTCAGTCGTATAGACTTTGTAAACTAGTAAGGTTTATTTTTTTCCTTCACGTTCTCCAGTGGGACATAGGGCTCCAAGCTAGCGCCTTGAAGTTTCTGTAGCAGTGTTTATTTTACAGGATTGGGTTGCTAGCCTCATGCCCAACCTTTCCTCTTCACCAGCATTATTTCTGGCTTAGCGAGGTAAAGGAGTGTGCCGGCCGGGAATCGAACCCCGGACCATGTGCACGGTCGGCGAGCGTCCTAACCACTATGCCACCGACGCACTAGTAAGGTGGGGTTAGGGAAATACTAACTCCGGAGTGCATCATTGAATCTTCTCGAAACTAGTTATGCATTTTCAGGAATCCAAGGACAATTTTACTGGACATCTGTTGTTGGAGAAAACTAGATGTCGGAATTATAAATCATAAACAGGGAGAACTATTTAGAGGCTGGTGATAGTAAAAGCTGGCAGTGTTTGAAAGAGACTTGAGTGCTACCCAGAGTGTGATGATTAATACCCCTTGACTACTTAAGGCATAGATTACTCCTTGTAATATTTGACAAGTATAGTGAATTAATTTAGGGCGACCAAATAAAGTTCAGAGCAGGTCACATAGAAACTGTTTTAGTTGTCACTGTAGACAAAGTTTTGTCTGTAAATTAAGTGTTATTATTATTATTTAGACGCCTGTCGGCTTATGTGTCATAGTAACTCACTATCTAACAACTACTGCACAATATCACTTGCAGGCTGCTCACAGGTTTAGAGCTCTTTACACGACTGACTGGACATGCACCAGAATCACCAGTGGGATATTCACTACTTTCTAGCGACATCTGACAGGGGCAAAACTAGGAAACTGCAATCAGCCACCGACTTAAGGAAGACTGATACGTTCTAAGATTGGTTCAAAGGGAGACCAGGCGTATGAATCCCATCATGAACAGTTTGAAACAAAGGTAACTACTCACTAGTTTATCTCCCCTGCTTATCATAAAGTAGACAGGGAAGTTTAGAAGATGAGGGATGTCACCAGGTATGCGGGATTCTCCATATGCAAGTGTATATCCTCTAACTCCCAATGTATTTGTCCTACCTTGACTAGACAGCAATCGAACATGTTGCATTTTCGTTCCTTCTACTATGCAGTGTAAGATAAGATAATATTTTCTTGAGCGAGTCCTTTTAAGCTCATTTCCCCTGTTGATAGCATTAAAGATTTTAATGTCTCAGACAAAGTCATGTCCTCATTAGATGTGAATTAGCTATTTACTAATGGACCTCTCATAGAAACTGTTTGCTTTATATGTGATTATATTGATACACAT